ATTATATTTTATCAATTAAAATATATTATATTTTTAAACTAAAAAAATATACGCGCGTTATTGTAATAACTTTCCTATTGGTCGCCTACAGCACTTTTATTTTTTAATTCTACCACCAGATGTCGTTATTCATCTTGTTGAATTTGTACGCTTGCGCGCACGCGTGCATTGTATATGCAATTATATGCCACAAAAAAGAAAAGAAAGAATTAGATCAGCTGTTTCTTTACACAGTTTTGTTAGTGAATATGTGCGTTTAATTTATGTAGTTTTTAATAATCGTGACACGATATTGTACAGTTGTATTTTTTCATTTTAATATTACAGATAAAAAAGAATAATATTAGAATGTATTAAATTACAAATTAATAATACATTAATTATCATAAGGCAATTTAAATATAATGGTAAATGTTAAAATGACTTGTATATGTTTGCCAATCTTGAATATCATTAGATAGTGTTTGAAAAAATATCTGTGCAAATAATTCGACGATTATTTATTTTTAACAAATTATGACAATTATTTCTACTGGTTTTATGGTAAGTTTAATAGAATCATTACTTTCTACATTATTTCCTCGATTACATTTTATCACAATTTCATGGTCAAACATGTGAAAATGACAATTCATTTTACGTCATTTTGTGATAGTTACTATAGATAGTGATTTTATTCGAACTTTACAATTTTTTGTTATTATCTGTAATTTCTGGTGTATACCTATATATATCCTAGTATCATTTAAGTAATCAAAAGTAGTGAGATCATGTTAAATCACAGCAATTTGATTCACTCATTGTGAGTCAAAACAGATGTTTTTCTTTTTTATAAATCTAACATTGATCGAATTCATTTATTAAATTATAACAAACCAAAATTCTAACTGTTCTTGTTAGTGTAAGAATTTTAGGTGGCAAACATCTTCAGAATTAATATCTCTTATAGAATTTTTATTTAATTAATAATCATATAATCATTCTTATTAATTATATTTTAGGCCTTGCAAATGATGTCAGCTATGGTACCAGGTACAAACAATGTTATGAATAATGATCAAAGCAGTCATCATACTTTAGAAAGACAGAAATTACTCGATGACTTGTTGGATGCTGCAAAAAAATGTTATATTAGGTTCGGAGGTCGTGCAGAATTAGCAACAGAATCAGATGCATGCGTCGCTCAACTCTGTTCCATACTCGAAGCAATATTTAGTCATGGATTGCGCACTAATTGTATAGAAAAAGTTAATTTTGCTTTAAAGTAATTATTTTATTTATTTATGCAAATATTATTATTTATAAAAATCTTTTATAGTGTGTTGCAATTAAGAAAATATCTCTTTTCCATAGACACGTTTCCGCTTTGGTATCTGGTAGCAATGCTAGATCTTTGAATACGAATGATGCAGCATTCTGGCCGTGTATAAAAGATCAATTAACGTGGCATGAACAAGAACGTTTCAGCATTTTAAGAAAAGTACGCACCGATTATGGCCGTGGCAGAGCATGGCTAAGAGCCATTTTAAATGAGCGCTCTTTGGAACGGAACTTACATACCGTTATAAATCCAGATAAGTTATCTTCATTCTATGAAGAATGGGCTTTTTTATTGGATCAAGAAAAATGCGCGGCATTGCCGAACGTAGCGGCAGGTAATTTTTAAGCATACGAAAGGATACATGAACGATAGGAAAATATTAAAATCGATAATATATAATTATTTTTCTATTTTAGGACTCAGCGCAATTTTATTTGCTATAAGAATAGAAAACGAAGAATTGGACAATAATTTAAAAGTAAAAAATTATGAAAACTTGAACGGCGAACAATCAGAACTTATCATATCTATAATGCCAGGTTTTTCTACTTTCTTATATTTATTTTTAATGTTTATCGTACTAAAGATTAATTTCAACACCTATATTTCTAATTTTTATATTTTATTTTATACCTATGCTTTTTTTTCTTTTTTTTTGTTCCTTATAAGAATAACACGAGTCTCAATAGATACCTTTTGATTTGGCTATTACAAAATAGAAGGACACAAATATTACTTCTTCTTAAAAGCCAACTGATATTAACAATTCATATATTTTAAAGGCACTCTGAATGTAAGACAAGGAAAAGTACAAAAAAAAGTACCAACTCATATTATTTCTTTTGACAATGATAGTGAAGAACAAGGAGAGTCTTCTGATGTTAGTACCAGTATTAACGAGCGCGGTTCTTTTAATAATTCTTCTATTTTAACAAAACATTCTTCATCTCCATCTATATCAGAAGTGCAATTGGATCTCGATGATTCTAATGCTGTTGCGAATAAGAGTTCTACTGAAAGTGAACACAGGTAAAACATTATCTTAAAAATCCTTAATATATTTAATATTTATTTTTATGAATAAGTTTTTTAATTAATATAAAATTTTATTTTATTTCTTCTAGCGAATCTCTAGATGAAGGAAAGATTTTAACTCCTGTAACAGATTCTGATAACTTGGGACTCGTTCTTACGTCACCTTTAGATCAGACATTCGACGATATATTAGTTAGCTTACCAAATTATATAAATGTAAGTAATCATATATCAGTTTATTTTAGTTGATTTATATTTACAATAATTGTTATAAATGTGTTTCCATATTTTATTCAGTATTTATATCATTTTCATAATTATGTTTAGGAAACAACAGATATAACTGAACCCGCGGTAGAAGCGACAGAGCATCTTGAAAATTTAGATAACCATACAAACACAGAAAATTTAGATGCTGAAGCATTACGGTCGAAAATTATGACAATGGACGAACTCTTAGAACAAGCTAGAGAAGATGCTATGACCAGCAGATTACTGTTAAATCGTTTTCAAAGACAGCATCAAAATCTTGTCGAAAAACATCAATTGCAGTTGCAGACGCTGAACGGGTAATTTGTTTATGCATTTTATCTTTTTCTATTTATCTTTACTTTTGTATGTTTTATTTATCTTACCACATTTGTTTCAAAACAGGGAGAATGAACTCTTGAGACAACAATTACGTAAATATGTAACAGCTGTACAAATGTTAAGGAAGGAATCTGATTCCACTTATGTGATAGAAAGAGATGTTTCGCCGACTCGTAACAATGAAGCAGAACAGTACGAAGCAAAGTTAATTCAAGTCGCAGATATGCACGCAGAATTAATGGAATTCAATTCGAGATTAATTTTACAACTGGCGAACAGGTATAAGTCATATATGCAAGATAATTAAATTAATTTATTCATTAATCAGTTGTTTTTATATATAAAATATTTTTAATAGTTTATAATAAATAATAATTCAATTGTAAAGGGACAAATTGATAAAAATTCTGCGAACGGAATTGGAATGTCTTCGAGGTCCTTTTAACGAGGATGAATTACCGTTGGAAATTCCATGTTTTATTCATATATGGATACCATCTGTTTTTCTGACAGGACAGCCTTCTGATATTCATCATGTATATCAAGTAATTGTTATGAAAAAAAATAATTCCATATTAAATAAAAAAGAAAAAAAAATTATTATTATGTTTTTTTGTTAATTTTCTAATTTTATAAATTTTAGATATATATACGAATACGGGAAACCGAATGGAATATTTACAGACGATATGCGCAGTTTTATGAGTTACACAAAGAATTGATAAAACACGATGCGATTGTGACTACTTATGAATTCCCTCCTAAAAAAACAATAGGAAATAAGGTAATGTATTTATTAAAAGCAGAATATAAATATACTATGTGTAAATGTATTATAATAAAGATATTTTTGTTAGGATGCTAAATTTGTTGAAGAAAGAAGACAAAAATTACAAGAATGGCTGAGACGTGTTGTTGGACGATTGGCTAGATGTTCAACGTTTTCTTCTAACCCGAGCAGGCAAACTCTTATATCGTTATTACCATTTTTTGGGTAAGTCATGTGTTTTCACCCCAATAAGATAAAAAATATTTTTATAAATTATTTCTTGCTATTACATTATTTTACAAAAAATAACACTTTAATATATATCATTGTTTTTTTATTATATATATTTACTTATTTAGTATAACTTTTATTTTTAGCGACAGACCCAATGCAGATAATAAAATAAAAAATAATACAGCAAAAAATGCATTATCTTCTTCTCCACAATATATGGGTTTATAATGATTGCTTATATAGAAATTGTATATAGACACAAATTCTTTAATTTAATGATTAAATAAAAAAACAAACTGTTTTATATGTATATCTTTAAGTAGATGTAATATAATATATGCAAATGTACAGAGTGTCCCAGCTGAAGGAGGCCACCCAAATATTTTCTTTGTTTTTATTGTTATAAAAAATGTTTTTCCTATGATATATCTCTTCTAAAACCAATTAAAGTGTGTCTTAAACAATTTTCATATCATTAAAAACAAAGAAAATATTTAAGTTGTCTCCTTCAGCTTTTTTCATCTAGTATAAGTTTAAATAAGATAATATTTCCCGCGAAATATTCAAAAAAAGTGAATAAAGTAGGGTAACCAATCTATCACTGTTGCCAACTATTAAAATAGTATTAGTGCTTAGCTCTTGTTAAATTTTTTGAAATTAGACAAAATTAAACTTACATTTCACATTTGATCTATCATTAATTATATTATTACATTGTAATTGGTCATATCCTGACAACAATCTGAACATGTGAATAAGTAGCCAATGAAAAAAAGTTTAGTTCTTTTTAGTAGCCAATTAAAATGTTTAAAAATAAAGAATCTGGACAAAATACTATATGAGAAATTTAGATCATATATACATTGAATTGTTATTAATTATGCATTATTTATGAAAATTAATTGACAAATTTTATATAACATTTTTTTAAATGTTACTTTGCTTTTATTATATTTTCAAATGATTATATATCTTACATTAAAGAAACAATTTTAAAATTGAATAAATGATTTACTAAACAAGGGGAAGACTAGAGAGAGAGCATGGATACTGAACAGTTCTCTCGTGGTTGCATTGGTGACATCGATTGCATTTGTAAATGAGCATTTACCTTTACGCCATGAGTTTATCAATTTCTTGTAATCAATTGTAACCAATGTAATGTTTATATTTTTGACATATTAATTAATTGTGATTTATTAAGAGATCGTTTGTCGGATTAGAAAAACGTACTTTTTTTTATTTTTTTTTATCTAATTTATAAATAATATCAAGAAGAAAAAGGTGTTATGTTTTAAGTATTAAAAACTTGTTACTATTTTCACGTAACATGTTTATCATCAGTTCATACTTTAAATTTTTAATTGTAGTCATTTGATACTAACTTTATAAAGAGGATAAAGGTTTAACGATTATTATACTCAGTAAGTATATTTTGTCTTTTTTGTGAGATATACTTATTCATACTTAAGGACATATTTAAATTGAAGTGCTTGTGGAAATATTCGAAAATTTATTACAGATTTTGTATTCTAAATTCAACTTTTCGTAAATCATACTTATTCTTCTGCAAATTAAATTCATTCGTTCGCAAATCAAGTTCACTTTTGTGTAAACATATCTAATGTTTACTCTACTTTTATGATAGTTATTTATTTGAAAACATTTTTTTTTTTTATTTTTTTTAGTGACAGTAAAATTTCTCTTTCCTTTGTTAAGTAGCAAGTCTAAACTCGAGTTGGTGAGAAAATGACCCATAAATTAAATTAAAAATATAAAATTAGATAAGAATAGATCTTTTATTCCATCTCTTTCTTTAGAATCATTTGTCATTGTGTATGCATTCTCTATAGGTTGATTCATATGACTTTCTTTCAATAGTATGATTCATCAATAAATATTTATTTAAAGTCCATTTGTGTGTATTCTAGAGGAGATGTCATCCTAAATAAACACTAACGAGATACAAAATATTGCTGGTACAACAATACAGCTTATTGTAATTTCAATATTAAATTTGTATAAATTAATGATATTAACATGTGCATTATATAATACTAGCAGCTTACAATTTATATACTTAGATATTATTTTTTCTATAACAATATTAAATTTTAATTCAACATAATTTCATTGCATTATATAGAATACAAGTGTTACATTATTTTGTGGGTTTTTCCATGTATGAATAATTTATCTACACGTATATACATATATATGTGTTATATATAAAATATTTGCTTGATTTCCTCATACGCGTTTTTCCTTATTTCAGTATTAAAGAAATCCTTGTTCCTATTGTGCCTGTGCTGCAGTATTGTTGGTAGCAAAGAAAAAGTTTTGTAATGCTTCTTTTAAAAATCTAAAGAAATTATAAGTTTATAATAACAAGTAAGTAAATAAAAAGAATATATAATTATTTCAACAATTTATAAATAAATGATACTTGATTGATATTATAGATTATGCGTATTTTAATATTTCAAAATTTTTCAGATTTTTACTAAAATTATGGGACGTTATACAGGAAAGAAATGTCGCCTTTTAACGATGTTAGGACTTACAGCGCTTTTATTTTTGGTTGAGATAGTCGTTGGTTATGTGACCAATTCGATGGCTTTAATAGCCGATAGTTTTCATATGTTATCAGATGTAGCCGCATTAGTTGTGGCGTTTCTTTCTGTTAAGGTAAGCATTAGCAATAATACACAATTTATTTCTTATATTATTAACATTTCAGTAAGTTTATATTATTAACTCCTTACATTATGATTTAACGTGCTTAGCCTGTAAGATTTGCCACAAGTAGGACCCATGTTTCTCACATCTGGGTCATAAAGTGGGTATTGTATATAAAAATATAGTAGTATAATGTATTTAACATGTTGAACGCAAGGAGTTCATTCTTATATATATATATAATTCCTGTAATAAATTAATATTTCTTTTTTATTTTCAGATGTCACCAAAAAAATGGTCCAAGAACACTTTTGGATGGGCTAGAGCTGAAGTCTTAGGTGCACTTGTTAATGCAGTTTTTTTAGTTGCCTTATGCTTTAGCATTACCGTGGAGGCATGTAAAAGGTTCATCGAAGTGGAAGAAATACACGAAGCTAAACTTCTAGTGTCTGTGGGTGCGCTTGGTCTATTTGTCAACTTAATAGGTTTATGCTTATTTCGTGGTAATTATCTTGCTTTTTATGCTCATTACAAATTTCAATAATGTTTAAATATTAATATAATATATACAAAGATATTATATACATTTTATATTCACATATCATTTGTATAGCTGTATCAGGGTAAAACAATCATTTATAGTTCTTTGAAGAGAATTAAGCTGCTAATTATTCAGATGGAAGTAATCATAAACATTATACTCCTCAATTATCATTCATTGTTCCTATTATATTATAATTTAGGTCAGAGATAATTTATAGTATTTTGAATCGTAGATTGTAAATAATGAAACATATATCCAGGCTAATGAAGTATAAAAAAAAGAAGGATATTATTAATATCTCTTTATTTAGATAGAAAGTTTAGAGTTGATAATCATAAGGGCTTCATAGCAGTATCAAATTAATTATACTTTATTTGTATACTGGCTTTTTAGGTTTATTAAATTACTTATTATTCGCTTTATTTTTATCGGTCATAATATTGTTTATAAGAAATTATTGAAAGAATATCAGAAGTAGGAAAATTGTCTTGCTTTTATTTGAAAACAATTAATTTACTTTTAATTAATTGCCTCTTTGTTTTTAGTAGAAAAATATACATACATACTCATTTGACATTTTATTATTACAGAACACGGAGGTTCTCATGATCATTCACATGGCATATCACGCAGTCATAACAGACTAAGCACATTAGTAGGCACGGATGACAATGAAAATGACAACACTTACAGACCACCAACGGCACAAGCAAAAAGAGCACATGGCCATACGCATGATGCCAGTCAAATGAACATGCGCGGTGTATTCCTTCATGTACTGTCCGATGCAGTGGGTTCTGTTAATGTAATTGCCTCCGCTTTGATAGTGTGGCTTACAAAATGGCAGTACAGGTAATATTTTTTATAAAACATTATTTTGCTATGATCGTTGCTTTTTCCATTTTGCTTATATCTTTTTATGATAGCTATTAAGATTAACTTAATTCAACTTTTTATCTAATAATGATATACGTTTATTTTTTAATAAGAAAGAAATATTATTTACACTTCATTTTTTGTTACAGATTTTACATCGATCCAGCATTATCACTGTTATTGGTTATTCTTATGTTGCGTTCTGTTTGGCCATTGTTCAGGGAGTCGGCACTAATTCTTTTACAAACTGTACCGACACATATTCAGGTATAATAAAAAAATAATAAACTATATAACAATTTGGATGATTCGCTCTTATTACATTATAATTTGAATTTAATTGTTTTACTTTACATTTTCATTTATGTTTTTCTGTATGTTTAAAAAATCTGCTTTTATTAGGTCGACGCAATACAACAACGATTACTGGAAAACGTTGATGGGGTATTAGCCGTCCACGAATTTCATGTATGGCAATTAGCTGGTGATCGTATTATAGCTTCCGCGCACATAAGATGTAGAAATCTTTCAGAATATATGAAAATTGCAGAACAAGTTAAAGAATTTTTCCACAATGAGGGTATACATTCTACTACAATACAACCAGAATTTATTGACGTAAGTGTATTTGTTGTATATTTATAGATATCACATACGATAGGTTTTATTACTTCGCACTTTAATAGATGAGATTTTAACGATGTTGAGAGTGATAAAATATTAATTGAGTAATTTTTTTTAGTATCAATCAAATAGTGAAATTAAAGATACGCCAACAGAAGATTGTGTACTCGATTGTCCAAAGACTGATAAACCTTGTAATCATGCTACTTGTTGTGGTCCCTCGAAACAGGTATGTGTTTCATAATTTTCGAAATTCTCCATTACTCGAATTCCTTGAATTCTACATTATGAAATCCTACAGTATTACCTGAAGAGAAGCACCTCTCCCCACAGTCCTTATTCAAAGTCTAAATGCCTTGGGCGTTGCTTAGAAGCGATTAAATCTGATTCTGATACGATCATAGGTAATCTGATGTTTTTATAGAGAGTATGGGAAAATGATTTAAAGACACTAATACAAAAGAATTATTTTTATGTGCTTAATGATAAGAGATCTATGAGCATTCAAATTTTATTTCAATAATATGATCGTAAAAGAAATACTTCTTTCTCTTCATTGATTTAAAATTAATTCTTATTAGATATACAGGGTAATATACTCTTGTCGTTTTGTTGTGCAATACGATTTAATTTTTACAGGGTCGTGAATCCCCTTCGCCCGGGGAAACACCATATATGTGCAGGCAACGTAATAGCTTGGCACGTTCGACTGCTTCTATAGGAGGAACAAAGCAACAGGAAGTGAACGAGATGGAGCGAGGACATTTACTTTCTCTATCTGGTTCTCATCATTCCATCCAACTTCCGCATTCTCACATTAACACGCCGACGGTTTGAGTTATTCTTTGATAACCACTCGCCTACCTCTATAGCCGATTACACAACGTAAAGAAATGCTATTGTACAAACATAATAAATTAATCATTTGACTGTGTACTAATTTTGTTACTATCGTGATTAACAATAGCATTAATTTCCAATTAACTTGCATCGTTATTTATCTGGTTTCATTACATTCAAAAGATTGATTATAATTAAGAAAAGTTTGTTACATATCTGTAGATAATTATAACAAAGGATTAAGTTAAAAATAAAAAAAATATAGATTTTATGATTTATTTAATATTATATACAAACTCGCTCGAAATAAATCATAAAGAATTTTTTTTTTCATTTTTAACTTAATCCGCTGTCTTAATTACTGGCACATATAACAAATCTTATTACTAGAGAGTAATCATATTGTACAAAACTGTATATTATTTAATTTGAGATTTAATCCTAAAAGATATTCTGTTTCTTTAAGTTGACTTTTAACTGTTCATTTTCTTATTTATGAACAAAAAATGCGAAAATTAAATATTTTTATGCATAAGGCGTATTGATACCAAATGAAATATACACACTATGCGTTGAAAGAGACGTAATAATCACGAGTATAAGTCCTAGTTGCCTTGGAAACTATTTATATCTCTTTGTAAATATTCAATTAACAATTTAATGGATACAAAATTTAATGATCATTGATTACTTCCTGAAAAATGATTAATTATACTTCGAAATTTATAAAACAGAAACATAAACTATAATAGTATATACTCTGTGAGTCACAACAGTATTCGTACCCACTTCCATTGAATTTTAAATAATTGATATTTGCTTGTAATGCATATTTTCTATTCTATAAATTCTACTTAAAAAATATTACACTTTCTAATTGATATACATTTTATTACAGAAGAACATTTGATTGTTAAAGAAAAAAATAAAATTGTCTCGCAAGTTATCTCGCAATTTGTACCTACGTAAGATATAATAAAAATACAACCATTATTTTTGTAAGTACTATTTATATTAATAGTATTTAATTGGCCCTTCTTTGCATTTTATAATGCTTTTAAGTTGATAAGGCATATATAGTGAGATTAATTTTTTTATTAGTTATATAAAATTTTATTTCTCCTATAATAAAATGTTTTTTGCAATCAAATGTATATTGATTGAAATGTTTAATAATCTTAAAATATGTTTCTATATGTATAAAAAGTTTGGAATATTAGAATAATCTAATATTTATATATTATAAATTTATATATTTTTATAACTAGAACATATATATATATATTGATTATTTTAAATTGACAGTGGGAGTACGAATACTCCTGTGATTCATTGTATATATATTGTTAATTCTTAGCAGTATTTGTGTATTAAGTAAATATTTGTATGAACTATAAACAGTAATATTTGTAATTTACATTTTGATCTTAAAAAATTCTGTAAGATAATATAATTAAACTCTATAGTTATATTCTATTGTGTTTGTATTTTTAAGCTAGAAGTTGTTATAAGACTATCATAATATTTGCAAATTTGTCGATCATACCAATAAAACTTTATATTGACAAATTTTTAATCAATGTCATCGTATTAACGAACTCTTAAATTGAGTGCGATAGTAAAGAAATTATTTTTAAAAAGCCGCAAAAACAGACATTGAAATTTTTTGTTGGGCAATGTTAATTTTTTATGAATACTATTTAAGCGACAAATTGGAAATTTGTATACATATTGCAATAAAATGCGTTAAGATCATTTTATTATATAAATCATTGTCCAATACATATTAATGTCTAAAAAATTTTTTTAGTATATTTGTGGTGTTGATTGTAAAAATGATAACAGTTTTGTTCTATTAACTATAGCTTTAGGGTCCTTAAATGTATGATCTGTTATATTTCTGTATAATTTAAAAAATATTGATGCTATTATAACATACTACTAAATTAATTAAGTATATAAAATAACCAATTATTTAATGTATAAAAAAATGATTTCAATCAGGATTTTTATGACAAAGATTAATCTCACAATTTTAATATATAAAAACAGAAAAGAAATTTATTAATTCAAATAGCGCGCGTCTAGTGTCTGTTGGTAATACAGTTAGCTGTATAGATGGCGCGCACGTAGAAGAAACGAAACGATAGAACAAGACGTTGTCAGTGTCTAACTGGCAACGAGCTAGGTTAGATTATTTAATTATATACGTAATGAGTGTGTAAAGTTACGAACAAGCTACGTGAAAATCGGGATAAAGTGCGTGAAAAAGTACGGATGTTAAGATACAAGGAGAAGAGAGAAGCAAATATTACATAAAAACTAAATCAAACAAAGAAGAAGAAAAATAGTGATAAAGGAAAATAATGATGAGACCGTAGTTCTCTCTGGTTATGATATGCTACGATAAAAGTATGTCGATGCAATAAAACGGTATAATAGAAAAATGTCGTACCAATTTACCAAAATACAATTGGTTACGAAAAATCTTTTGACAAACAGGTGAAGATGGAAGATGAGGCTGACCTCAGGGAGCAACTCTTTCACAATACTGTGCGAGAAAATATCGTGAGTACAAATTAATCATTAATCGTAGTTAAACATACTTCATATATTCTATTGATTCTAAGGGCTACCCTTAAAAGTACCGCCAAACGCGAGGTTCGATGGGTGCATTTTAATGCACAAATTCGTACAACAAAAAACCATACAAATGTTTAAATGTCAAACATCATTATACTATTTGAATTTTATTTAGACAATTGTGTTCGCTATACGTGTCTATTTAATTATATCAATTTTTACTTTCTATTTATGTTATTCGTATCTTGTTTTCTTTCTCTTTCCATCGTTTGCTTTTTGTTATTTTTCTTTTAATACGAAAATAGTAAGCATTCCCGTCCCGAACGGGATGCGTGATTAAAGAAGAAGAGGGGAAGACTTTTTCTTTCTACTGCTTCTTTCAACGACTTTTCCTTTTGCCCCCTTTTCTTTCTTTCCTTATCTAAAGTATACCCTGAACTAACGATTTTCTTTCTTCGTTCAACGACGACGACAACGACGACGACGAATAAGCAAGATTAAATATAGTATATTATCTATAAGAAGTAAAATCACGGTAAACGGTAAGGGGGAGGGGGAAGGGAGAATAAGGAACTCGCCAAACTTCATTTATAATAATTTCGTTAGAGTCACAAAATCGGGTATTAATGATAAACATTAAAATTCCTTCAACGTAAAGCTTTCTACTTTCTTTAGAACGAATCTAAAAAAACGAATTATTAAGATTATTATTTAAACAAAATATTAAATAACGTAAGTTGTTTTAATTGTAAAGATAAACTTATCGTAAAAATAATTTTGCATCAATTACGAATTATTGTACGAACTGCGTTTACGATTATCCTTGTTAGATTGCATAAATTTTTCCTGTGTTCCTTGAATGTAGGTAGTTTCTATGTATGAATGATTGAGGATGTATTATATAGCGTTTGATAACGTTTCAACGTAAGATATTAAATTGCACGCAACAAAACGATTGCGAATTGTTAAGCATTGGAATTACACAAAATTGTTTCGTGTCGATTAATATTTTTGAACGTGTAAATAGATTTCGTCTTAATATCGGCGCGAATTTTTCCCGGCAAAACTTGCTCCCCCTCTTCCCCTTCCCTAAACCCAGTGGGATTTGGTACAATTAGATTTGTCCGAAAAATTTTTGTCGGGGTTAATATTTGTATTTTATAATAGATATATAAATTTACGAATTTTTCAGATAAAACGATTTAATTCGATTTTTATTTGGTAATTGTTGCACATATTTGTTTCTTTTTATTTGTAATTTTTTTTCTGCCTATTTCAATCGTTAGTGTATTACTTTTTTCTTTTTTTATTATATGTAAAAATAATAATTGGTTTTTTCCAACTGCTAATCATTCGATACAAAATTCCTATTGTAAGATAATCTAAATGATAACATAAAACACAGACATTTCTTTTTATCATTATCAATTTTTTTATTATTCATCGATTAACGAACAATCTGATTTAAAATAGCGTCTAATATTCGGAAAGATAGACAACGGGATTGATTAATCAAAATGAAATGACTAATTAGTGAATTTATTATCATTCATCAAATGTAATTTTTTGCTTTTGTCGTATCATGAATCAATAATTAGGTAAGGAAAAAAAAAATCTAGGCCTGAGTCCATTCTGTTAGTTCCAAAGTATAAAATTAACGGTACTTTTTTTTTACATACGAAATAAACGCCGTTACCGTTAAAATATAAAAGACCTCAGAGGGATATTAAAAAAAATTAATTTATTTTTTAAGTTTACACATATATCGATTATCTCCAAATTAACTTCGTGCACTAAAAGGTTTTGTTTTGTTTTGTTTTTGTTTACTCATGTCATTGGCCAATTTACACGGCATACTTTCCTGTAAAAATTTAATTTGCAATTTTTTTCTATTAACGAAAGAAATGATTGCGATTTACTTTTTAATTTATAATTATTATTCCTTGTAAATTTGTAATCCTCGAGTATGAGTTTGACGAATTAAAAATGGATCCGTTCCGAAGTCGTCCCCTAGCGGTAAAATTTTTAAAAATTTATTTTCGAGATTGATACTTTGATTTGTTAAAGAAAACAATAAAATTTTTTTTTATTCTCCTCTTACATTAGTAAACGAAAAATAAAACAAAATATATTATTAAATGGTCAAGATAAATTGAACGAAACTAATGAAATTATATTTTAAATAAATCTTTTAAACACCCCATTTCTTTTACGTCTCGTACTATATATAATATATATATATATATATATATATATAAAAAAACAAAATATTGTGATTTTCCCGTTAACGTTATGGTAGTGTTTTCTCGCGATAAGTTTCTCAAGAGACATACATAATATTGTTGACCAGTAGCCATTTCTTTCTTCGAACCTTCGACCGGTTTTTCTTTCCACATTCTTAACGCAGATTAACAGAACCCTAAGCCTATCGCCTTACTGCATTCAAGTTAGCGAATTACGGAAATGATAATAAAAAAAAAAGAAAGAAAGAAATCACGAAATGCAATTACATGAACGTCTAATCCCCCATTAAACACTTCAACTGTTGTGTGTTTAAATGTTTTGAACGAAAAGATAATCGATTATCGGTGTACACTAGTGTTTTCTCTTCTCTTAATAAATTCGCAGAAATATTAATCGAATGTAGAGGACTGACACAAAAATATCAAGAGTAAAGTCCCGTAAACGAGTAAAAGTAATCATCGGTTTTTCGTTTGATTATCCAAGCCAACAAGAAACGCCGTTATTCTCTTCTTTACTTACCTCTCCTCGTATTTCTTTTTGCCACGTGAAACGCGGAAATTTCTTACGTGCTCATTTTTGATAGATGTGCATGTGTGTGTGTCTGTATGTGTATACGAGGTGTAACTTTCTATAAAGTATATACATATTTTTCCATATTTAATTTTATATTTTTAATGTCGTATTTTCTTTTTTTTTATTTACTTCCTCCCAGGTGTACGTGTACGTCAGTCAACATAGTTTTAAACGCCACGTCAGGTATCGGTGGTTGATAATATACCTGTACGTTTATGTTACTACGTTGGTCATCGTCGATTCATGATATACGAACTGTTTAAATTACACACACACACACACATATTTTTATAGTTAAAATTTAATATTTAATATAATACAATTTTTTGTATTAAAAATAGATGGGAGATTATACATTCAATTTATTTATTAAATAAACGTGCAATCAAGTAACAAAAGTGTTATTACTTGTTTCTTATAAGATCAATAGTACAAGTTTAATTATATCTGTATGTGTTAACCTTTATATTAATTCTTAAGTTTTTGGTCAAGAATGGCTATTAACAAATAATAATAATAATAATAATAATAATGTATATGCATATTATAAATATTGTATTATTATATTAGTTTATTATTATTAATGAGATAGAGATATATTTGTAAATCTACAGTTTGTTGACTCAGTAAATAAATTTGGAGAGATTTACATAATAGTTTATTATTAATATTAATATATTAAGCATTTTTTTAATTGTAACATTTCTGTCCATGTTTCTTTTATTTATTATTTGTTTTTCTTCATTTCATTTAGTTATGCAACACGATTAAATTTAACACTGGACGTAATGGCGCTGGAACCAACGATACCTGAGCTCTCTTTCTCTCTCTCTCTCTCTTTCTGACTTTATAGGGATGCGGTTTAAAAAACAAGTTTCCGTGAGATTTAAAAAAAAAAAAAATAGCAATTTGTAATTATATATTATAACATTATGTTTATAGAAATCAAGATGTTTGTTGTCATCGATCCTTGTTACCAGAATAGATATTTTTAATATGATCTCTCTTTCTCTTTCTTTTTCTTTTTTTTTTCTTTTTTAAACATTCAAGTCTGTTGTTTGTGCCACGCTCATGGTCTTATACGCATTGGCAGCGAAACGAGAGGAGAAACAGCAGGAGGAGGAGAGGAAAAGGATGAAAAAGAAGAAGAGAATACTACCAGCAACAACATATTTTACATTTAACGTTTCACGTTTCTTTTCAGTTTTAACTACTTGTTTTATATTAATTCGATAAGATAATTTAATCAAAATCATTAATCAAGTATTTTCTATCAACGTTTCTCTTTAATTTACTTAGTATATCAAGGTTATAACACTTTTGTATATAATATTTCATGAGGTTATCTCGACGAGCAATGATATGGTTGTTTTTTTTTAACGATTACTTTATACGTCGAGTAATTTATATAGAAAATATTTTTTCTAAGTAATTATCCTTCAAAAGTATTATTTTTAGTGTAGTATAATATGTTTAAAATAATTATAATAATTATTATTTATTTCTGTTGATTATTTTTTGACTGTTTGTTAATATTGTCGCATTGATGGGTAATCGCATGACGATTGATATTTTATGTCAAGGTTTTTTTTTTTTTTTTTTTTAAGTATCGGTCGTAATCTCCATATATAGGATCGTCAGATTAGTATTAAAAGTTGCATAATTAAACGTGAGGGTCGCTTTAATTTGAAGTATAGTACGTGTAGCAAAGAGAATTATTTATCGAATAAATATTTTATTTTCAATTTATTATCAACGAACGCGTTTTTAATTTGTATCTCGTAGTCGCGAAAATATTTGCTCGGTGGAGGGTTGGTGGGGGTGGAGGTCGGGGATAAATGAGTCGGCTAGGTGGAAAAGTTTTAGGAAGCCCGTGTTCTACGCGAATGGAATATTACTATTTCGTTTAGAATTATTATTATTTATTATCTGTTAATATTCTCATTAATTAGGGGGGGGAGGCAGAAAATTGAATACGCGTGCAAATGAATTTTATTTACGTTACCAATGTTTTTTTTTTCCTTTTTTAAATATAATTCAATATTTGAAAGTGTTCAAAGTCAAAGGTAACGTTGCATTCGTCATTTAAATCGGCTATCAATGAAACTAATCGTGAAACAAGGTCGAGAAATAAAGAGAGAGAGAGAGAAAGAAATAGATGAAAATAATCGGGCTTCGTGTAAAGCGGCACGGATTCGCGTTTTTGTTCGAACACGCGATACGTCATTATTATTATCCTCTATGTTAATTTTAAATTATGTTATTACTATTACTGTTGTGCGAGACGAGACGAAACGAAACGAGATTCGTTTAGTTTCTTTATCGCGAGAGAAAGAACACATGCGCGAAATACTTTTCTCCGGATTTTAATTTGTGTTTGCATATGTAATAATACTGGATGTTTTTCATTTTGTGTATGTATGTGTACGTAATTTCTGTATATTTCGAACGCTGCACCTGTTCTATTTTTTAGCACATTTTTTTGTGAATAAAAATGTTTTTTCGGCGCGTTAGGATTAAATCTATTTTAATGTAAGATTAGAGAAAATGCGAGCTTAGAAAATAAAAATACGTCGCGTGTAATAATTGCGTATTCACTTATGTTGGATAAATAATATCAACTCTCGTGCATAAAAGTAGACTTTGGCACGACACGATGGAAAGATGGTTTGAATTTCGGCGTACATTTAATCGGGGCAACGTTCGCGATGAAAATAAGTATATTTATTTCAGCTGAGGTATCTAAATGTGGTTTACCATAAATTCTACGCGTTAGAGAAGATAATGGAATAAATAAATATATTATAATCAGGTAATTATCTATTATCTCTTGTTATAGTTAAGTTGTTTTTATTTATTTATTTATTTCATCTTTATGTAAAGCTGAACTTTTTTAGCATTTACAATAAACCGTTTAAATCTTTCAGAGGTGTTTATTCGTTTCAAATTAAGAAATCAAATGGTTATTACAAAATTTTTAATTCATTCTAGATAACGGATAATATTGATAGGAAAATATTTCTGTCTATATCAAAAGTACGATTAATTTTTTTTTTTTTTTATTTTCTCGATGACCCTGCTTGAACGATCCATTTTTATTTCACGCATTCCAATTTAGTTTGTGTCGGAATAATCCCTATTAGAATTTAATTATTATATTGTCACGCGCGTACTTGACCTACATATTTGCTGGTTACAAACTGTTTAATATTTTATAGACTATATCAGATGAGTCACGCGAACTTTTATTATTTTATGATCGCTACTAGGAACTAGAAGAAAAGTTCTGAAGAATATAACATTTAGGAATTTCCTTTTTTCTTTTTTTTTTGTTAACTTTGTATCTGTTATCGATAGCTTTGATCTAGATCGTACAGCTCAACAATTGTTTTGTAGATTTTACTTTGTTTTTTGTGTTGCAATTATATACTTTTGACATAAATTAAAAAAAAGAAAAAAGATTGATAACTTGAGTCAATTTTGCAAAAAGAAAAAAGAAAGTGCACTTGTATTCTCGTGATTTCATTTCACTCATTGTGTCAGTCTGAACGGATTCTTATCTTATCGTTGAAGCTTTATCGAAAATCCTCGCGTAATATTGCTTAATTTTTAATAAAAATTTGATCGATAATAATTAACGATCGTTGTAAATAAAAAAAATCATCAAAGTTTTTATGCTCTAAATCCTAAATCTATCTGTATATATAAAACTGTATTTTTATTATTATTAAGTAATTATCATAATTAGTACGTAAAAACAACAATCATTCCAAAGAGTTCGATTAACTTCGTTTGCGTAATCATCTAATTATTATTTACGTCATAACTAACCGGTTAATCCTCTACTTATGTAGATATGCGTATATGTGTAAGCGCATCATTGTGACAAGTATTATATTAGATATAAGCAGTTTTTACAATGGCATTTCGATAAAGATAACAAAAATAAGTTTGAAAAATTTCACGTTTACGTTGTGTATTGACTTTTTATTTTTATTTAAGTACAAATATATCTTATACGATATAAATTTGTATGACTGATAACGATTAGTCATTTTATTGGCATTTTTATTGTTTTAAAATAACTAGATAATATATGAATTTATATGAGGATGAGAGTAGTTAAAAAGTATGAAATTAAAATTTACATATATTATATAGAAAGTTACCTTTTTTTTACACACATATAGAAGATAAAACATATGAAAGAATTCTCCCCACTTGACGCAAATATTAAACACTCTCGTGTTTATAAATATTTCATTAATTGCTAATTTTTTACATATTATTCATGAATATAAACAAGCCAAATCAAATGAATCAATCGATTATAAGGTAATGATATGCAATTAAGCGCAATTTCATAATGCAAGAGCAGCGAAATAAAAAAAAAAACAATGCAACGTGTGTAGTAAATAAGATCACGATGCACAAAATGATATAAATAGAATATCATGTGTATGTGTGTATGCAATATATATATATATATGGATTATAACTATTACACAATACGTTTGATGATTTACATTGTTAAGCAACATTTTTTTTCTCTCGATTCTTTTTATAATACTTTTTCTTATTGTTTTTTCTTCTTTCCCCTTTTCTTTTTGCAGATATTCCTCCTTTTGTTCCTTCTACTCTGCATTTCAAGTTACGCGCTTATCGCAAGATTTCGTCGAAGGGATAGAGAAGATTATTTCTCAGTTGACGAAGATGAAGCCACCGTTTATAGGATCAGCCTTTTGTTGTGTACAGTCGCCTTGGCAGTTTCTATCGGAGCGACTTTGTTATTACCTGTGTCCATCGCAAGCAATGAGGTTCTCATATTGTATCCCAATAGCTACTATGTTAAGTGGCTCAACAGTTCTCTCATACAAGGTACAATTATGTTTGATATAAATATTTTGTCTTATATATAATTGATTAATATATATATATATATATAAAAGTACATATTGAAATATTATCATTCTATTTTTTTTAGGACTTTGGAATCATGTTTTCTTATTTTCCAATCTATCTCTCTTCGTGTTTCTACCATTCGCATATTTATTCACGGAATCGGAAGGGTTCGTCTGTTATAAAAAGGTAAAGCTAGATTTAAGGAAAATATATAACATTTATTTGGTATATATAGTTTTGTTGTTGTTTTAATTAATGAAATTTTGCATTGCAGGGTGTCATGGCTAGAGTATATGAAACCGTAACAGTTTTGTGTTTATTGGGAACACTTGTACTTGGTATGGCATATGTTTTGTCTGCTCTTATTGATTATCAAAAATCTAGTCTCCATACATTGTTAAGTAAGTTCGTTTAAAAATGTCGAACAATTAAAAATAATATAATGATGATTAATTTTATTTAAATGCATATAATTACAATTTCAGATATATGGAGTTATTATTTACCCTTCCTCTATTCTTGCGTCTCTTTCGTCGGTGTAATGTTATTGTTAAGTAAGTATTATTAAATAAGTAAAATTACAATTTTATGAAAAAGAAAATAAAATATAAATAAAATAATATCATTTATTCCCCATCCTCTCCCTCCCCAGTATGTACCCCGGTTGGATTTGTGCGACTGTTCGGCGTTGTCGGCTCGTTTCTAGTAAAACCTCAGTTCCTAAAAAATCTAGACGAAGAGTTCTTTGCATATAGTTTAGAGGAGGATTGCATTAAAAGAAGGTTAATAAGAATTATGTATTTACTTTTCTTTTTTTTTCCCTTATTCTCTTTATGTATCTTATCTTTAATGTTGTTTTTTTTTCTCGATGTAGACTCCAACATGCAAAAGCAACGGGAAAATCGTATGTTTCCCCAGTACCAATGTCTCTACCAAGTTGTAGTACAACGGTCGAAGACGACGAACTTCTTAATTTGAGTCCTGGTTTAATGTGCCTGAGAAATGGCGCTCTTCAACGTGGACTGACACAGAGATTAGAAGATGTTCAAAGAAAAAGAAAAATCTTAGACGAACAGAGACGAACTTGGTGGGTACGAAGAACACTACTTTATCCTTTGGCAATGCTAGCTCTACTTATTTTATCCACTGCCACGGCTTTATTAGCGGTTCAAAATACCTTGGAACTTCTTATTGGTATTAAAGCTCTACCATTGAGTACAAGGGTTTGTATCGAGATTTTCTTTTATATTTTTTACATGAAAATTATTTAAAACGTTATAACTAATGATAATTGTAAATTGTATAGCAATTCACGTTGGGTATTAGTTCATTGTCAAAACTCGGACCCATCGGAGCTATTGTTGAAGTCTCGGTGATACTTTATTTAGCTGCGACAAGTGCGATTGGACTTTATTCGCTTCCAGGAGTTAGACGGGTACAACCACGGCTTTGTTCCACTCCGCTCACTCATCTCATCGCGAATTGCGTTCTATTACTTGTACTCAGTTCAGCGTTACCATTGCTCTCCCGAATATTAGGTAAACGATTAATATATGAAGTATAACATAGTCTACGTCACTAAATCAAATATCTTATTATTTTAGGAATGACGAACTTTGATCTGCTGGGAGACTTTGGTCGTATAGAATGGCTTGGCAACTTTAAACTCGTATTATTGTACAATTTAATTTTTGCTACAGCGGCTATCACTTGTTTAGTTACAAAATTTACAGCAACTGTGAGAAAAGAAATTTATGTAAGATTGAGGAGTAGTTTCGTAAGCATATTTAAAGGAGAAGGGAAGAAGAACTCGTCGGCGATGTTTTCTACTAAGGAAGAATAGACTGATATATATATATATACATATTATATATATATCGTAAGGAATTAATAACAGAAATGTATATTTCTTATTTATTGCTTACCGAGAAGAAAAAAAAAAGCAATGAAATATGCCCCCTTATGATATAACGATAAAGGAAAATGTTCTCTTGATTTGTTTAAGAATTGCATAAAAAGATCATGCAACTTTAAGAATTTTTAAAAATATTTGCACTCGATCGCAATCAAAATGTTAAACTTTTAACGGCGTGTGTATCACCTAGCACTGTTTATTTATTATTTCGAAATTTCTATATTAGACCAAAAAAGGCAAAAAAGTGAGAGGTTTATTATAATAATAAATAAAATAATTTTGATGTTGTCGGAGTGTATAGTGCTAGCGATTTAATTATCATATAATTACTATCAAATTTGTTATTTATCTCGAAGTATAATACTACGTCTATCTTACGAGTGTTTTAATGAATACAAAAAAATAAATATATCGAAGATAGTCACGATGACGACGAGCTAATAGTATTGCGTTAAATATAAAATTTGGAAGTATCGAATTAATGTTTAAATTTTCGTAGATTGTATACGTTACATAATAACGCGTATTAGATTTTTTTAGAAGAATTAAAATTTTGTTCTTTTATTAATTAGGTCGTTGATGATAGAAATTTTTCCTTTCGTTAGTAGTACGAGAAATTTTTTTAAAAATTATTTTTTAATTTATATCTTTTCTCGCGTAATACAAAATTTTTTGGAAATTTTGTTCGTTTAAAGTTTATTAATACGCGTATAAATCATGCGTATCAATTGATTTTGTATAAATATTTATTTCTTGTTATGCATTTCATAAAAAAAAAAAGAAAAGAAACAAGTCATTTTGATAACTTTTGTTTATTGTGAAATTGCCTTGTTGCGAATCAAATAAATATGCAATGGAAATGAGTAAACTAATGATAAGACAACAAATTAGAAGGAGGAAGAACGGGAGGAGGAGAAGGAAGAGAAGGAGAACATTGTAAAAGTAAATAATATGTTTCGAACGATTAATTTCATTGTCCTTCGAATGAAATAATAATAATTATATAATAATAATAATAATAATAAATGAATACAATGCATTTTTATATGCATGTATAGACAGACTGCAACGCAATGCTTTAGAGTCAATGGACAGGAGGTAAATAAATATTATTTATCCTGTTTGTAATAAGCGAATAATATATATATATATATATATTCAAATAGAATCAACTAATATTTAAGAGAAAGGAAAATCTTTAAGTAAATACGTATTTTTACACATGAAAAAGCTTTAGAGATCTTCTGTATCCATGACTGTAGCATCTGTATTAGCGCTAGGTAAGTTTCTTAGATTTTTTGCAGCAATATTATGTGATAATACATCTCGTCAAGAAGACAATACAATATTAAGACGTGCACTGGCACTAATATACTCATATTTTTTATATATTACGTATATAAGGTATAGTTTCTCAGGATATATAAAAAGTGTACTGATTTTTACACTTTAGTTATTATACATTCTTCTAATGTGATGTCATAATATTCTTGCTTTTTTCTTTTCCCCCCCTTTCTTTTCTTACAACAAAAAATTACTTCGCCTGAATTGAAGCAGCGTTTTATTGGTATTATTGACACGAAAATATTTTATTATATTTTTCTTGAAAATTATGTCGTTCGTGTGCATGAACGGTATATATTATAAATTATATACACATACATATATAAAGAAAGTTTACGCTGATAAAAAAAAGAAAAAAGCTGTAACATATTTGTATCTAGTAAATTTGTAGGAGCCACGTCTCTATCGTATAATAAGTAATGTAACATTTTTTTATAATGTGGGGTACGAAAATTTTTATAAATGTCATCGTAAAATATTATCCTCCGATTTTATGTGTATCATAGTAGTTAAAAAGAAAAGTATGTAAATAATGTTATTTATTATTGTGTACGTATAATTGCACATATAATTTTATGAAAACAGACGAAACGCGGTCACAATTTTTCCAAAATTCCTTCAAATTTATAGACAACGTGTTACATGTGAAAACTCGTATGACTCTTATTTGTTAAATAAATTGAAAGATTAAATTTAAACAATATTAAATCAAAATTATTAGTTGGATGATAAAAAATGAATGTTAATGTTTTGAAATTTAACCCAGTTTATTATTAATCTGTACAAGGTAGTAATCCATAATAATGTAACAAATTAACACAATGTGTTGCATTGACACCTTTACGCAATATTTTGTAATGACGAGCTTGCGATAAATCTACTACCGTAGAGCCTCTTCTTTTTGATGGATTAAGTTTTTTCATAACATCCGCTTGGTGGTAAAATATTCCTCCTAATTTTGGCCATAATTCGGTAAATTCTTCTGGATGCACGCTACTTAATTTATTGCTTTCATTAGCACTGGTAAGCGCCAATGGTCCAACTATTTTAGCAACAGATCTAACAAATTTATAATCAGGTACTCTAATGCCAACGTTATTGATTCCAGGATTTAAAGATGGATTCAATGCTTCTGTTCGTTTTAATACAATAGTATATGGTCCTGGCAATAAATTCTCTATTAATCTGGATGGTAATTCATTTACGATTCCCCATTTGTGAATTTCATTAACATTATCAACGCAAATGGCCAATGGTTTACGTTCATCTCTTTTTTTAATTTCATATAATTTCTTTATAGCTGTGTCATTGCTTACGATACCAGCAAATCCATAAATTGTATCAGTTGGAATAGCAATAATTTCTCCTCTTTTTAATAATTCTACAGCTGTTGCAACGCTTCTACTACCTCCAACGTACCAATGTTTCTCTTCTGAATCCAACATGTCTAATTGTTCCACAGCTGCATTTAAAAATATTTTCATAGGACCCATCTTTTTTGGATTCATAATTGTTCTCTTTTGACTCGTGTTCAAATATAACTATCACAAATCAAAAGGGAAATCCCAATCAATCTGGTGATACAAATAAAAAATACAATTATAAAATACCTTTACTCGCGCCAATTGTGACAACATTTTGGATTACAACACCGATAGAAGGTTGTCATAGGCTCATCAGCTGATCTCGTTTGGATTTGCATAAAATATGCACGTGGATTTGAACACTTTGGACAACGTTCATCCGTAGAGTCAACGTTTTCCCATGCAGCACTTCCTCCTAACACGTCGTCCACTTGTTTCAATTTTGGATAAGTGCGATAACTAACTTTACGAGATATGTTGAAAACATAAGGACATGTTCTACATGAAAATCTCAATCCTGTATACTCTTCAACATAAAGTACATTACCGCATGAGGAACAAAAAAGAAGCATAGCTATTTAATCCTATAATGTGTATTCCTGAAATGAATAGGATAATAATAAATAAGACTCATTATTAAAGCAATTATATATTAAAGTTTCATCAAAAAGTGAAATTAAATACTAACCTCAAATATAGAAACCTTACTCACGTTGAACGAGCAAGGTAATTTTGTTAAAACAATTATGATACATGAAAATAATTATTTAATATTTAACAAATAATTACAAAAGAAAGTTTTTATTTATTTTTACTTATTTTAAAAAAATATAAAAAAACAGTCAGAAATATCGTGATAAGTATGCAACGTGCTTACTAATTTTCGAGTGTTGCCGTGTAGCTGCCGGAAAAGTGCAGCAGGATAAAATTTCCCCTAGAAAAATGCATAACGTGATATTTACTCCCTCTACCGCTCTAAAATATATCACTAGTGTCACTAGTCTAGTTTAATATTCGGTCGAACGATTGTCACGCTATTTAATTTTTTGTAAACGTAACCAAACTTTGTTGCAAGTTTTTACGCTTAAGTGCGCGTGCACGTGTTATACAAACGTAGTATGTGTTACGTTATAATTGAATTAATCGAAAATAATAAATAAATTGCATGCAATATTAAAAGAAAATGGGCCCAACAAAAAATCAGGAGACTCATAGACCGGGGGCTTTTAAGCAAACTAATAAAGCTCATAAAACAGGAAGACACCGAAGTAAAGGAGTCATCAATAATGAGGTTAAAGGTATGTTGATAGTTTAATCTTAAATATAGTTTTTATTTTGCGAAATATGCACATATGAAAAATAATACTTATTTAAAATATAATTGAACATCTTATTATTTGTACGCAGGCAAACAAAGCGTAAAAGTAATATCCAAGCAAATTCATAAGAATTTAAACAGAGATGCTAGAAGACATCAGTCTTTGCAATTAAGAAAAAAAAAGATGGAAGAAATGTTAGCACAGAAGCGAAAGCTTGGTAAAGGATCCGACTCTGCACCTATTCTGATATGCATAATACCATTGCAAGAAGATTTGAAATTAGAAAATATTGTTTACAAATTGAAAACTGCAGATGATACTATAAACTTTTATAGAAGCCACTGTGGTATTTTTCATATGAAGTAATTTCTCATACGTTTAATATATATTAGATAGTTCTAAAAGTTTCTTGTTTTATATATATATATATATCTGGGATTAAATAAAAAAATGCTAATATAATTATTATTTATATTTTATAGTATACCTAGAATGAAACAACGTTTCTCAATAATCATTCCTCCTATTAATGATTTTTATGGAATATTGGATGCAGTTAAGGTCGCAAACACTGTGCTATTTGTTACTTCTGCTATCAATACGTTCAATGGAACCGTAACAGAAGAAATTATAGATAAATTTGGCAATGAAATATTATATGCTTGTTTATTACAAGGTTTACCTACTTCTATCGTTGCTGCTATCAATGTAGACAAACTCCCTTCCAAGGTACATATACAAATAGTTTATCTATAAGCTATTCCTATATTATTTTTATGACAAAGTCACAATTATTAAATATATTTTGTTTTATATCATAGATACATCAAGGCTATAAACAACGTGTAATACAGAGTATTTCAAAGTATCTACCGGAAGAAAAAGTATTCTCTTTGGATACCCCCACTGATTCATTAAATGTTTTACGGCGGGCAGCTACACAAAAACAAAGAACTGTAACATACAGAACAAAAAGACCATACTTATTAGCCGATCAATTAAAGTATATTTCTAATGAGGTACATATAGAAAATGTATTATCCTAATGTAATTGTATGATCATTAATTAATCAATAGTGTTTGATAAAGAATTGTTTTTTTATTTCAGAGTTCGGATGATCAAGGAACTCTACAGATCACAGGATATTTACAAGGTTCACCAATATCTGTGAACGGTTTAATACATATCCCTGGTTTTAAAGATTTTCAATTGTTACAAATTGATCTCATCAATGACCCGTATGAGATAAGGAATAATAAGCAGCTTAAACAATCTGAGCCTTCTCCAATGACTGTAATAATGGATAATGAATTTTTATTTCCTGACATGGAAAATCATGCAAATTTTCGTGTAAATTGTCGTGTAAAATCCCACCTACAGATGACTTGCATTATGACACTAGCTTATGCAAATCCCAATAAACAAGTGAGTTACTGTCTGATACATGCATGTTCGGTTAAATTTTTTCAAGACTTAGAGGATTTATGATTGTGTTTAGGAATCGCTTGAAAGTGAAAATATACCAGATTTAATGGATGCAGAACAAACTTGGCCAACCGAGGAAGAATTAGCACAGGCTGAGGCTGCTCAGAAGAAAAAGATTGTTAAAGTGGTACCAAAAGGAACCTCTGCGTACCAAGCAGCTTGGATTCCTGACGAGGACGCTGGTGTGTACATGTTATATAATTTAATATAAATATATATTGCCTGACTTGATATTTTTAATTTATTTATAAATAAATACTTTATCGTAGAAGATTTGAGCGAATGCTCGGAGAACGAATCCGAAGATAAAATGTCTGTGGATGATGCAAATTCTCAAGCAGATAACGAAACTAACATGGCATCCGATGATGAAGAATATGAAACTATAACGATATCGGAGGCAGCATTTGATGAATGTAAATACGATCAGGATATCGACATGATGGAAGAAAAGGAAGCTATGGAGAAAATAAATCGTAGGTTCGAAATGCGTATAGAAATATTTTAATGACTAATTGTACAATATAATCATCTTATAATATTTTCATATAAACAGGAGCAAAGTTGGACGCCCAATTTCCCGACGAAATAGATACACCTCAGAATATGTTGGCTAAAGTTAGATTCCAAAAGTATCGCGGACTTGAATCATTTCGTACAAGTCCTTGGGATCCCAAAGAAAATTTACCGCCGGAATATGCACGAATATATCAATTTGAAAATTTTGATCGAACGCGTAAACGAATATTTAAAAAGATAAATCCAAAAAATGAAATAAAGAACTGTTTTCAGGGAATGAATACAGCTTTGGTAAGTAGAATTAATAGAATAATTCTTTTATAATTACTTTCGTGTATTAAATAAAATAAAAATATTAATATATATATGTAATAATATTTACAGCCTGGTTGGTACATTAAACTTCATGTTGCCAATGTTTCTAGAACTACTTTTACTGACCTTAGTATATCAGACAACCGACCAGTAATCGTCTTTGGATTACTTCCAAATGAACAGAAAATGTCTCTTTTAAATATTGTATTAAAACACGCTAATGTCTATCAACAAGCTATAAAGTCTAAGGAGAGATTAGTGTTCCAATGTGGGTTCCGAAGATTTTCGGCTTGTCCAATATTCAGCCAACATACAAACGGATCTAAGCACAAGGTACATTAATAAATAAAATTACATTTAAAACCAGTAATCATAATTAATTAATAATTAATTTATTAAATCCTATTCTAGTATGAGAGATTTTTCCGTCCAGAAATGATTGTAGTTGCGAGCATGTATGCACCAATTATTTTCCCGCCGTGTCCGGTTTTATGCTTCATTGAACATAAAGATGGTAGAGTAAGTAAAAATAGTTTTTTGTTAGTAACTGAATTTGACTCATGTACGTTTGTAGTGTAATTGCCACTTAATACACTATACATGGTACTTAATATATTAACGAAAACATTATTTTCTTTTTTTTTTTTAAGGAACTAATTGCTAGTGGAAGTGTTCTATCTGTCAATCCAGACAGAATTGTCGTAAAAAGGGTGGTTCTCAGCGGGCATCCCTTTAAAGTACACAAAAATTCTGCTATAGTGAGATTTATGTTTTTCAATCGCGAAGATATCAATTGGTTTAAACCCGTGCAACTTAGGACAAAATACGGACGCAGAGGACACATTAAAGAGCCATTAGGTATAATACAAATCTCAATTATTATAGCTGTACAATTCAAGGAAGATACAGAAGTGAATTAAATTAATTAAAATCCTTTGATGGATATTTACAGGTACGCACGGCCACATGAAATGTTTTTTTAACGGACAGTTGAAATCTCAAGACACCATATTGATGAATCTTTATAAACGGGTATTTCCCAAATGGACGTACGAACCTTTGACGTAGAAGCTACCATTAGAAAATACTTTACTACGGTAGATTAATAATGGAAATCTAATTTACGTTTAAATAATTATAACTTCAATTTATGTTGATTTAGTAACAGGATAACTCAAAGTTATGCGATTTATTTCGATTTTAATGAAAAATAGTAATTCATTTATTATATAATATTAATTAAACAGATATGTTGGATCTTCTTCTTGTACGAGTCCTAACAGGCTGTAGGCTTCGTATACGAAGATAACTCAACCGGCGTTCTCTCTCGTGTTCCTCCATGGTAATTTTGTTTAACAGAAGAGGGCCAGATATCATCATAATAATAGCACCTAGTGGTGCTAAAAATATTACAGCTACGATTGAAATTCTAACCACATCGAGCGCCAGTTCGATGTGTTCTGGATCTTCTTCTGTTGTTCGTTGATAAGCCATTGGTGCCAATGCAGCCTACAGAATTTTAAATTAATTTTTTCAATTATTTTTTTATCATTTCTCCTGAGTATAACAGTAATTATAACAGTGAACTAAATGAAACAATTTGAAAAATTTGTTTTATGATTAATTTTGTATCACATCGATAATTAATATTCAAAAATAAATCATAAAATAAATTTTAACAATTATAATAGCAATTATTTTTAAGACCATTGAGAATAAATTAAATAAATATCAACCTGAAGAGTACCCTTAGGGATCCAAGCAAGAGCGATGAAAGTTCTTTCCTTCCAAGAAAAGTGGGTCTTAATTGTTGATAAAATGGCGGTGATGCAACGTGTCTAAATAAATTAATTTTCCAAAATTAATAAAAGATCTCGTCGTAATTTATATTTACAAAGAAAAGCTTACTATTAGACCGATGAGTATGCAAGTACAATAAAGACCAAATCTTGATAAAGACCAATCCTTAAAATCAATATCAGCTCCAATAACACCAACCAAAACAGGCTGCATAAAGTGCCAGAGGAAGAATGCTGCTTTTTTAAGTGGTGTTGTCTGTTGCATGTAATGTTTTTTTGTTTGTTCCCTTCTGTTTAAATTTATTTTTGCCTAATTTTCTTTTTACATTCATAAATGTACAATAAAAAGCTTACGTTATAAGATACTGTTAATATTCTCCATCCCGTGATAGCAACAAAGGACATTATTATTATAGCAATGTATGGTGCACCAGAAACTGGAAGTTTTGATGTTGATGCGGTACACATTAAAGCAGCTATTACCAAGTTTGATAATCTATACCATGTTGCGTATTTCTAAATTTTGTACGTTCCAAATGTTATATTTAAATCAATTCGATTTTGTTATAAAACAAAATTACGTAATATTTTCTTAACATTGATTTAAATGTAAAAATTTCTAATAACACAATTCAAATCTAAGTATTATATTTTAAAAATAAGAACAATCATTGTACATGATTACGATGAGGGAAAAAGGCCAAAAAAATACCAAGAAGGAATCCTGTCAAAACACCTAGAATAATATCTCGAAAACCACTTGGTATATACGACCACCACTTGGTTAGACGTTTATCTGCAACAAATTATTCCGTTTTATTTTACGAACTAATATAATGGATAAATGATTAGAAAATTATCAGATGAATTTGTGCTTTATATAATATACACAAAAAAAAACAGACCTTTATAAATTAAGTACGTAATATTATAAAGTATTCGCTTACCACCAAAAACGGAGGCATAGAAAACAGAAAACAGTGAGAGGATGTGTACATCGTCGATGGAACTAGCTGCACTTAGTAATGAAGCTAATCCTTTATCTTCACCATAGCCACGTTCAGCAAGTGCTAGCATACAATTGACAGTGACAACAGGTGACATACAGGCAACGATTGCACTAGATAATCAAAATAATAATCTTTTTATTTGAATATGATCATTTCGATTATTTTTATGACATTTTATTAACGGGTTTGAGAAATCCTCATAAAATATCGCGCGTTCTAATTACCCAGTCATAAAAGCCCAGTTCCAAGGATAATCAAGGATATATTTGGTACAAATAGCAAGAATGAGCATTTCGATGGTACAGGGTACGATTGCAAGGATCATGACGAAAAGGGGGTGTCGACGAATCGGCGTGGTGGTCAATTGAAGACCAGCACGTATCATGATGAAAGTCAAACAAAAAGTTCGTATTTTCGCTATCGTCCTGATACCAAATTCCTGTCTAATGTTGTAAAAATTGGTGTTTCTCACGATTATACCGGCTAGGAGCATACCGAAAACGGGTGGAAGGTTCGCGTAAGGAATATAAGCGAGAGTCCATCCGAGAAGGTAAGAAAAAATAACAATAACAAAGAGACCGAAGCATTTGCCTTGAGGTAACATTGTTTCACCGAGAAGGAAGAATAAAGTTATCCAAGCCATCAGGATCATCGCTGTAATGGTTGCCAACCAGAACAAATTAGCCCAAGTTATTTCCGTGTCAAAACATTTTGAGATAGAATCGGTTACAACAATCTCGCGCAAAATTGGGTTGCAAAATGTCGCTCGAGAACAGCAGGTATTGTCGTCCTCTTCTTTCTCTTCTTCTTCTTCTTCTTGGTGGTCCTCCTCGGATTCTACTGAGGGTACATTTTTGTTGCGTACTTCCTTTAAATTCATTTTTACGAATCAGAGCTACATCCCCTGTTTGATATTTTACCGGTTTGTTGTTCATCAACATATGAGGATTTAAAAAAGAAATATAGGACACTTTTAATAAATAATTAAATAATATTTTATACAACGTGTTTATGTATATATATTATTATCGAAAGGGAAAGTAAGATTATACCATAATAGAATTTTTATTTCAAGCTAATCGATTCCCAACTTTAATGTTAGTCTCTTTTTTTGCAACGACAGGGATGAAAGAAGTCGTTATAGAATTTGTGTAGTAATTTCAATGAAAGGATAGGCAGACAAGTCTATCGTGCCGCTTCTCGATAGATACAAAATATTTGATTACTTATTTTACGGTCAGTTTAAATTTTGACCTTTGCCATTTATTTAATCAATCGTAAGAAAACGGGAGAATTCAAAATTCGATATAAAAATATCGAATATCGATAAATTATACTTTTGATAAAATCGATATGCTTAATTGATCGTGTAATTAAAACAGTTCGCTAACTTGTCGACCGTATCGATATTTATCGATGAGATGATTCGTATCATGGTAGCTTAACGATTATTATTTTATTAAAAAAAAATAAAAGATTATTATCTTCTTTTTTCTTTTTTTTTATCGACAATCATATCTTTTTGATCAACATTCTCGTTCGCATTTGATATATATATATTTGTTCGTAAGAATAATTTTTCAAAATAATTATTTTAAAAGTAATAAAAAATAAAGAAGAAAAGTATAGAGACTGGGGGTTGGGGGTGGGAGTGGGGGTGGAGTAGGAAGATCATCCATCATGGCAATCCATTCGGTTGGCGTAAACTTGTTTATTTTTTTCTTCTATTTTTTCTTTTTCTTCGTAGGCGTCTGTAGATTGCTATTAGCACTCACCCCTAAGGATTCTAAGAGAGACTTTTGCGCCCTCTTGCGGATCATTTACCCCGGCCAACATCCCCCTCCGAGCAGTTAGGTTCGCGCGAGAGAGGAATATTCAGTTTGCGAACGGTGCTCGTCACGATCGTGCTGAAATTCTTTATTCGAAGTGCAACAAATAAAATTTTATTTTTTTTCCCCCAAAATCCACGTTTCGTATAAACGGACGAGTACGCACACGCACACGCACAGTTTTTGTCATTTTGTCATTCATTTTGCGTACTTTTTCTTTTCATTTTTTTTTCCTCTCCCCTTTCCAAGTAATACGACAACCTATGTGAAACATTTAATCTTTTCTTTCTTCTACTACCCCCATTATTCTCTCTTTCTTTGTTTCTTTCATTTTTATTTTCTCAGACGCGTTCGATTATCCTTGGATATGTTCTGCTCGTGTTTTTTACCGTGGACGAGGTCAGTACGCATCTTTTACTATATTTATTATCCTTTTGTACAATCATTTTCATTTTCCATTTAAATGTCTTTTATGCAGGTGTGCAGGTATTTCTTTTTCTTTTTTTATATATATATATTTCCTTTTTTATTTTCTACGCAATAATTTTTATCGTTCTTTTGTATTTAGACAATTTTTAATTTTTTTTTCTTTTCTCTATTGTGCACCTACCCGCGTTATGCAGGTGGTACTTTTTGACAGATTAGCACGCTTCTTTTTATACATTTGTCTTCTTCTTTTTTTTATTACACATTAATGTTTCTCGTGTGCTTTTTTTTGTTTCATTCAACTTTTTCTTTTTTTTTTTTTGTTATTCTTCCTATTGCACCAACATGCATTATGCGGATGGTCTTTTTTTTTTTATTATAGGGTGTTCGACTTTAATCCGTTCACCTTTTATGGTTTCGATTATTGATCCTTAGAACTCTGAGGAGAACTTGGAAAAGCAACGTAATGTTGTTGGTATTTGTTTTATCTTCTTTTTTTTTTTTTCATTTTCATTTTTTCTCTCATATATTCTTTAGGTTGAATGATTTTATTTTTATTCTGGGCATATGCGTATACATATTTTAATTATTTATCATTGATAATAATTTTATATATAGATATATTTTTTAATATTCTAATAAATGATACACACACACACACATTCCTTGCAAGTTAATTAATAATTATCACACATTTCTTTTTTATATTTAAATAATGTTTGCCCTATATATATATATATATATATAATTGTATATATGTATATAATTATGTTTAATTAATATAATGAAATATTCTTTCATAATTATTTTTTCGACAAAGTTAGGAAATTATTTTTCATATAAAGTGAAATCATTTAAAATTATTTGTTGCATTTAATTGTTGCTAATAACAGACGTTTAATTATGTAAATTATTAATTCGTTCATTTAAAAACATTCCTAAAAAAAAAAAATACTACACATAATTTTTTTCTTATATATAGGAGCCAAATTATTATTACTTTTATTATTCGTTTTAAAAAGTGATACATAAAAGTATTACAAAAATTTCTTTTATTTAAATATAAAAAAAAAAGGAGAGCACGTTTTAACATTAAAATCAAAAGCAGAAATTTCAAGTTGTTCATTAAATGAAAAATAACGAACAGATATTAAAAACGTTTCAATTAAATCACGTAAAAATACTTAACCAAAAAAAAAAAGACAAGAAATGCAAGTAAGGTAGAAGGTGGGAGGTGTGTGGGTGAGGTTCACGAACGGCAGTGTCACGATCGGAAAGACATCTTTTTTCTTTCTTCGATAACATTGAGGAAGATAAAGAAAGAGAGTGAGAGAGAGAGAGAGAGAGCATCGGGCATTAAACGATCGACATTTTCTTGATTATTATCAATAAAACGCAATTGACAATAAAGGGTCTTTGAACTTTAGCATACGGTTTGGGCAATCGAGACGCGACGACGGTTATTGAATTAGTCTCTCAGAAGTCAGAATCAGTATTAGTAAAATAGCACTATTCGAAAATGAATATCTATTTTGGTTGTTGAAACGAAGTACTTTGGTTTAGCGATAGGGATGGTTGGACGTCAAGTGGATTTAAGGTTATTGAACTTGTTCATTGATCCCTCTTGAAGCAGCAGTAGCAGTAGGAGCACATCCACATCCACATTCACCAACCAACCAACCAACCGGTGGTGCATATCCACCAACCAACCAACCGGTGGTGGTGCAACCAACCATCGGCAGCCAGGCAGCATGCATCCTCGCGTGGGGAATCCTTTAATGCGCGTGCTGCTGGTTTCTTTTATTTTTCCAAGCGAGAGATCCTTGTCTTTTAACATTTTCCTATTTTTTTTCTCTCTTTTTTTCTTTCTTTTTTTTTTTTTTTTTTTTTTACACTTTACCAAGAAGGAGATCCTCGGTACGATTCTACCGGGATGTGGGTGGGGGATGGGGAGTTGATAACGATTTAGAGGTGCTTTCGTCCGATTAATAATAGAAGAGAAAAAAAGCAAACGTCCGTTCTAATCACTTTTTCTTTGGTGGCTTGAAATTATTTATTCATTTAGGATATATATATATATTATTTATATTTTTTTTATGTTCTGATCAAGTCTCTTTATGATCTATTAAACGTTACAATATTTTTTTGCGGGGGAGGGGGGTGGGGATTTTAAATGATTTATACATTTACGATTCTTGTCTGTCACTTTATCATGGGGGTGGAAGACAAAAAAGGGAAAGCAAAGAGTGTGGAGCGGGGATATAGGTTAAAATCAAAGGAAATATACTTTCGTAAATATTCAGAATAAATAAACGTTCTAGTTTTTGAGAACGGGATTCCTTCGATATATTCTAGAATGTTTCGGTTACCAGCGAACTTTTTACAATTCATAGAACTTTGTGGACCGGGACTTTATTTTCTGCACGAATGTAAAAAGCAAACGCTTCCTTTGAGAATGAATACGATCCTAACAGTGGATCCATTATTCGTCGAAGCTTCGATGTATTCAATATACGTATATATATAAAAGTTTAACGCGCGCTCGTGAGAACGTTTTTTCTTTTTTTAAACTAAGTTTTTTCTTTCTTTTCTTTTTTTACCTTTATCGAACTTTTCGACAAAGATCTTTCGAAAAATATACTTTTTTTCGTTTCCTCGCATAAAGAAATATTTGAAGATAAACTTTGCGTCACTTCACGATTTATATATATATATATTTTGTAATACAAAATGAATTGAAAATATGTATAATAAAAAAAAAAAAGAAATCATAAAATTACTTTAAATGATTATAACACACAGACATCATAAGTTTAAAAGCATGAACATAAACATCAGGAAAGTTTTCGTCAAGTAAAGGCTTACGTCGAAAGTTGAAACTATGTCGATGTAGGTCGAACCTAAGTAAGAAGAAACGTTCGTTCATCGTGGAAAAGCTCATCCAATTTATCTCCAATAAAGGGATACCGTTAAAACGGTCCATTATAGAACGAACACTATCGTGAACTATATTACGGTACTCTAAAGTTGTTATAAAAGGGTGTCGTATCTTATTCTTACGACATATTCGACGTTCAAAAATTGTCAAGGGTTGTTTAATCTCTTAACGAGATTATTCGATATTTTGTCAAATTGAAAAGAGAAAAACTAAATAAAATTTACGATAGATACGTTATTTTCTCAACGTTTGCGTTATTAAATTTAATATTTAATTTTTTCTTTTATTTCCTTTAAACAATAAAAGATATTCGATGAATAAGATTTAACCGATAAAAATCATTATAAAAGGATAATAATATTCCGCGTAGAATATTGTCATGTGTCCGTCGTATTTGAAAAAATAAAATGAAATAAGAATCTACTTCATTTTGAATCCGCCATGTTGAAAAAAGGAAATTTTAAGAAAGAATAATTCTGATTGAACGATCCCGCGGCGGCTATCTTCTTTTTCTTACGAATAAGATTATTTTTTGCAATAAAAAGAACACTTTTCTTCGAAGTTTATTTTGTACAAAATCAATAAACAAACAAGCAAGGATTATTTTTTGATCGTACGAATTTTCGTTTCGTTCGGGGTGGTAGGGGTATTTTGATTGGGTGATATGATTACGCGGCCAATTTATTTTACAGGTTGCATACGGGCAAATCGTCGCAATGCGTATACACCGGGACTCGACTCGATCAGCGGTTGCGCTTGCGGCGAGACGACTGTCAAATAATGACACCGAGCAAACATTGCAGCACTAAACTACTTTATGCGTTAACTAGGCCCCTCCGTTAATTATAAAATATCCAACGTCGAGACACCTGCTGTTCTTCTCTCTCTCTTTCTCTCTTTCCCTCTTCATTATATCTTCGTGCAATTATAATTTTAAGCCTCTTTCTTTTAATCCTGTTTTGGTCACTCATTCGAAACTTTGGGGTTTAACAAAAAAAAAAAAGAATTCACGTTAAAGCTAACCCCGGTTTTTTATTTCTTTTTTTTATTCTTTTTTTCATTAGGACACCCAACCCCGAGTTTGAACAAAATTCTCGTAAACGTTTGTCTCCCTTCCCTCCTCCTTTTTTTCTTTTTCTTTCAACGACAAATTTTTTCCCCGATCTTATTAGCATTGATTGGATATAAATAAATAAGAAATTATATATATAGATATAATCGTTATATAATAATTTTACTCTTATAAGTGTATCGCGTGTTACGACAAAGTTAAGTGTAACATACGTTATCAATAATAAAAGGGGAAAAAAAAGTTTATAGGATAGAAAGAGTAAAGGAATATACGGAACCGATTGTCGATGCTAGTGTTCCATTTTTCAACTATGCTTTCGAATAAATCCTCTTCGGTTTCTATAAAAAGCAATAACGAAATAGTTGCGGAGTCGAAACTTTTTCCACGACGTCCAATCCAGTTTCACCCTCCCTACCCTTTCCTTTTTCACCGTCCAATATAAGTGGGTCGCGAATTTTTAGTTCGACACACACACACACACATGAAAAAGAAATTCGATTTCACGTACATAGATAGCACGTTTATTGGTCTGTGTTCGATGTTATCGAGTTTTTCTGAGGTACATGTATATGAAAAAAAAGGAAAAGTAATAAAAAATAATTAAAAAAAAAAAAAAAAAAAAAAAATAAAAAAAAAAAAAAAAAAAGAAAAGAAACCGATAAATCGCATTCGTATTGTATTCGTGTTTCATAGAAGGCGCAAATTTATGATTACCATTGATTCATTCATTTCGAATTGGATTAGATCGAACGAAGGCTTAACAATATATACATGAAGCTGTCTGATACATATTACAGAAAGTACTCGTAACAGTGTCGCTGCTAATTACCCGTCAGCAAGTGCATTAATTACTGATTCATGGGGGGTATGGAAAGAGGAGGAGGAGGAGGAGGGTTCGTAGTCTGAGTGGAAAGGTAGCGCATGCGCTTCTCTAATCCGAATAAGTGAGAGACCTTTGACGGG